GTTACCTGTAATGCCTTTGCCTTGACCAAGCCGGGGCTAGAAGCGTGCCCTTCCCCCATACAGTGCACTCCATCTCCATTAGTTGTGAGCTTTATATTAAGTTCAGTGTAAAAATATATTCCAAGTAATATGTTATCTTATTCACAGAGAAGTGCTGGTGTGTTCTGAATGCCTGTGGTTTTGAATGCCATATTAAATTAAAAATAAAAATGGTAAGCCTAATTAAATTCAAACTCCTACAGTACCTTCTTTTCAGCATTAGGTGCAAAAATTCGATTAGTTATTTCATTAGTGAAGTATGTTGACAGTCCAAAGAAAGATTTATAAGCTGAAAGGAAACTTTTAAATTATTCCATGTGAATGATTCTTACTTTGCAGATTTGTTGAAATATAGGTATTGGCTTCAAAAATGGCATCCTTAACTGACACTTTGAGCACTCGAATTAACTCAATCAAAAGTGCAATGATCATATGGAAAATATTTTTTTTTTTTTTTTTTTTGAGACAGAGTCTCACTCGGTTGCCCTGGCTAGAGTCAGTGCCGTGGCGTCAGCCTGGCTCACAGCAACCTCAAACTCCTGGGCTCAAGCGATCCTCCTGCCTCAGCCTCCTGAGTAGCTGGGACTACAGGCATGCGCCACCATGCCCGGCTAATTTTTTCTGTGCATTTTTAGTTGTCCAGATAATTTCTTTCTATTTTTTTAGTAGAGACGGGGTCTCGCTCTGGCTGAGGCTGGTCTCGAACTCCTGAGCTCAAACAATCCGCCTGCCTCGGCCTCCCAGAGTGCAAGGATTACAGGCGTGAGCCACTGTGCCCGGCCTTCAGTGTGCTTTTTATCTGTCCCAAGAGCTAAGCAAATTTGACAAAGATGTTAGGTTTGTAAACAAATTTACTTTCAGATTCTTTTCCTGGAAGCATTTGTGTGCAGAAGAGAGTACTTAACATCTAAAAAGTACAAATTTTAGATATTTCAAATTAAAATGATTTTAGTGTTATAGATAGCAGGGAAGAATTATTGAAGTTTATTTCTGTTTTGGCAGTATAAATGAATTACTTACAAAATTCCAAGATTCTATAGGTGCTTTTATAGAGTTTGTGTTATTTGTAGAAACTTCAGTTTTCTGGCATTTTGCCAATGATCTACCCTGGGTATAGCAGGAACTTGTTTTCCAGCTTTACAAAAATATATTTTAAGATTAAGAACTGATTATATATAAACAATTTGGGAATAACTTCTGACTTCTTCTGTCAAGGGTTTTGAATTTGTAGCAAATATAAATTTATTCATAACCACTAACATTTGTACAATGCTTTATAGTTAATAAAACACACATATTTTACATATTTTATCTTACTGCATATAATGCATGTGGCAACGCCAGGAGTTGAGATGTCAGTTCTGATTCAGTGAATCATAGATCTTATCCAATGGCAAACTTTGATAATGTTTCAAAGAATACAAGCAAGCACCAACTGCAGATGGAACATTCTTTTTTTGTAGGAGTCCCAAACTTGTGAGAAACAGAATCCAAAAATGTACCTTTCTTCTGCATTAAGACATGTCATGGCTTTGGATTAACAGACTCATTTTAAGCAATGTATGCAAAAACATTGCACAAGGGAAGTTGTTTTGGTTTTGAAACTCCTGTTTTATATTTTCTTAATTAGATGGTTTATTTGACTAGCCCCCATTTTCCAGCCATAAATTAATAAATCTATAATTCAAGGCTTATTTATGATAAACAATCTAAATAGTTATATCTTGCTCACATTTTCTGGGTATGGATTCTTTGGTATTTTTCCACTTGGAAATACTCTTAATAAGTTTTCAAGGCTACCATCTTGTTTGAGGTCATTAGCATATTGACTGGGAACCTAGTTGAAGTTTTCCTCCTTTCTCCAATAGTGAAAGAGTGAGTTACAAGCCTGTTGTTAACCCTTTCTTTCCCAGTGCATAAGAGTGATGGAATTTGTTCTATATGGAAAATTTAGTGTGACAAAGTAATCTTTTGAGTGTTTTGTTCCATAAATTATTAGTATTTTCAGTTTTTGGTTCATGCTTGGGAAAATGAGCAGCTAAAATGGACACTTGCCAGATATTGTTTAATTTCTTCAAAGTTTATTTGCTAAATACCAAATATAATAGGCTATCCCTACATCATAAATATTAGTTGCTGTGATTATTTAACATTAACATCATGTTTCATCATGAGAATCTTCAGGGGCATATTCAGAACTGCTGCTCCCTTATTAGGAATTTGAAATAATAGAAACTAAGGTTGAGGTTTAAGGACTTTACTAAGAACTTAAAGCTACTTCAACTTAATATGAGTCATATCAAGGTGTGGATCCATTTTACCATTAAGAAAAAGAATGTATTCTTTTTTTTTTTGGAGACAGAATCTCACTGTGTTGCCTGGGCTAGAGTGCCATGGCATCAGTGTAGCTCACAGCAACCTCAAACTCCTGGGCTCAAGCAATCCTTTTGCCTCAGCCTCCTGAGTAGCTGGGACTACAGGCATGCACTACCATGCCTGGAATTTTTTCTATATGTATTTTTAGATGTCCAGCTAATTTCTTTCTATTTTTTTTTTTTTTTTTTGTAGAGACGGGGGTCTCGCTCTTGATCAGGCTGGTCTCGAACTCCTGAGCACAGACAATTCGCCTGCCTCGGCCTCCCAGAGTGCTAGGATTACAGGCGTGAGCCACTGTGCCCGGCCAAGAATATATTCTGGTTCTCTTATTCACTGTGTTTTCTTTAATCATACTTGAAGTTCGTTTACATTGAGGAGAGCACTCCAAGGTCATACACAGATTAATTAAAAAAATCATCCAAGAAATTCATTCTTAGGGAAACTTGTTCACACAGGCCAAAAACATAGTAAGTCCTTAATATAGAACAGCTGTTATCTGTCTTCAAAATTAAATCTTCAAGTATACTTGTGAATAAGTCTTACAGTTTTGCTGAGTTTACTTAGATCTTAGGACAGATGATAATCATAGAGAAAGATGTCAGAAAATGTGTCATAATTCATATACCCAAGGATTTTCATTGTTAATGAAATAAAGATTATTTTTCATAAGGATCAGTCATAGAATAATAGAATTTTGAAACTGCAAAAACCTTAGAATTCAATTGAAATGGCTGATTTGTTTTAAAGGGAAGAAATGCTAAATGTGTAATTATTGCATCTATCACATTGTATCTGTTTCTTTTTCTTTTGTCTTTTCGGCTTTTATAACCTATACTTAGGCCTAGATGTCATAACTTACTTTAAACGTGTACATTTGGTTTTCAGTCATCTTGACAGGGCTATCTCTGAGTTTTCTTTCAAAGATTTTGTTGTATTTACTCATAAAGTCGTTGGTTTTGGATTTTGCAACTAGAGCATTTTAAAGATGCATGAAGAAACATTGCAATCAGTTCTACCGGGGCAGAAATTTCCTAAATGGATGTGTATGAAGAAAGAAAGTTGTGCTGTAGAAGAAAGAAAGGTATGTTGTTCATTGATGATTCTTTCAGGGGGGAAATTTAGTTTAAATTTGACTGTGCAATTTTCACTTGTAAACTTCAGGTCATTGTTTAGGTCAGAATTGCTGGTGGTGAATGAAGCAGGATCTAGTCATTGAATGGGTAAATGGGAATAAATTTTAATTGAATTTACAAAATGAGAGTTCTTACTATATATTTTCCCTCTTTATAGTCAATTTGCATGGTTGACCTTACTAATTTGTTCTAATTCAGGTAATAATTTGAACAACATTAACTTTGTTGACTTTTTTGATTAAGCCAGATTTAAGATCCACCCATCAGTCTTCAGCATTTTAAGGCAACATTATTACATCTAGAATACTAATATAATTATTAGGAAAAAAACTCAGTAAAATAAATGCTTAATGAAAATAGGATTAGAAGTTTGAAAATGAACTAGGAAAAATAATTTGACAATAGGATAGTTTTCTATTTGTTTAATTGTCCTTATGATTTCATTAGTCTATAAAGCATGAATTGATAAGACTTAAAACTGTAAGTTGAATGCTTCAGTGAACTTTATTATTTCAGTGAACATTTATTATTTAATGTGAACTTTATTTACACCTATTTTGAATTTTATTTAACTCAAGGCATCTTCTGTTCAGAAGAGTGTTTTTGAAGATGACCTTCCCTTCTTAGAATTCACTGGATCCATTGTGTATAGTTATGAAGCCAATGATTGCTCTCTCCTATCAGAAGACATTAGGTAAGAGATCTGAATTTCCTAATTTCATTTGAATTTGAACCCTCGGAAGATAACTCTTCTGGTAATATTTATGTGTATACTGAGTTTTACAGTTGAGGTATGTTCAATAGATAATTATTTCTACATATAAAATATCACTAAGTTCTTTTCTACTTTTTAAATAAAAAATAAAATCACTGAATTAAATTTATAATCTATCTCTTTGTTCATTCATAAGCTTGTCTATTTAATTTTTTGATTTTTAATACTTAAGATATTAAATACAGAACTACTGAACACATTTTTATTTTACCAATTTAGGAAAAAAACGGCAAGAATTATTTAACCCCTAAATGCACCTTTAGATTTCATTAAAATACTAACATAGTAATATTGAATAGTGGCTGTGATTAGGTCTGCTGTATTTAGTTAGCAACAATTGTAGTAAGTGATCCTTAAAGAGAACATTTGAAATGACTCTTACTACTTTTAAAGTTTGCCTTGTTAAATTAAAACTGCAGTAATGCAATCTAAGGCTCTTGAAACATTTTGCAAACAGAAGTAGTAAGGAATTCATTTGGATCTTCTTGAAGTTGTTACACCTGTCCTTTTTTTTTTATTTTTTTAAACTGTTATATATTGGGTTAAAAAAAGCCAGAGGTAAGTTAAGCTATTTATTAATGGTCTCCCGGTGGTAGCTATAATCTAGAAATAGCATTCTGGTGTCCTCACTTCCACTATAGTTATCTGGCCACTTTTGGGTCCCATTATGTTAAATTAGTCTCACAGAGAAGGTAAAATCTATTATTTATGATTATATATTACCTCTACCATCTTACCTTTGGCATTGCTATAGTATGTCATATCTGAAGGTACTAAGCATAAGTTATTTGAAGAATTGTAGTTTTGATGAATTGTATGTATTTTACAAAAGGCACGTAGGGGTTTTTTTTTTGTTGTTGTTGTTTTTTTTCCCTTCCTCTGGCTGCTTTTAAGATTTTTGCTATCACAGGTTTTTGACAATTTGATTATGATGTGCTTTTGTGTTGTGTGGTTTGTGTTTATCCCACTTAGGGATAAACCAATGAACCCACTTAGGGTTCATTGAGTATTTTGGATCTGTGGGATTATAGTTTTCATCAAATTTAAAAAAATTCTTAATATATTTGTTACTCTTTTTTCTTTGTGGGACTCTCAATCCACATAAGTTAGGTTGCTTGATACTGTGTCGTAGACCACTGAGGGTCTTTTCTTTCAGTATGTTTTTCCTTTTGTCCTTTTTTCTCTCTGTGCTTTAGTTTGAATAGTTTCTTTTGCCATGTCTTCAAGTTCACTTATATTTTTTTCTTTTATAGTGTCTGATCTGCTGTTTATCTCATCCTGTGAATTTTTAATTTTAAATATTATATATTTCATCTCTGTAAGTTCCATTCAGTTCTTCTTAAAAGAAATATATTTTCCATTTGGGTCTCATCATATTTGTGTTTTAAGTCCTTGAACATATTCAGTGTACTTATAATAGTTTTAATATACTTGTCTGATAATTACATTATTCTAGGTTTTTTTCCTGTTGGATGCTTTTTCTTCTGGTATGGATCACATTTTCCTGTTTCTTTTCATGGCTGTTAATTTTTTTGGATTAGGCATTGTGATTTTACCTTGTTGAATGTTAGATTTTGTTGTCTTCCTTCAAAGAAAGGAGATTTGTTTGTCAGGCAGCTTAGTTACTTGAAGATCAACTTTATACTTTGGGGCTTGTTTTTAAGGGTTATTAGGGCAAGTCTGTAGTTACCTTTACTCTAAGTTTAGCCGTGTAAGAAGGTATGGCCCTTCTGGAGTCCTTGCTGACTGTCCTGGGTGATCAACAAGGATCTCTACCCTCACTTTGCAGAACTTTAATTCCTCTTGCCTTTGGGTAAGCCCTAAGAGTTGTTCAGTTTATAGCTGTTTGCCCAGTCTCATAGTTTTGCATGCATACCTTGATATTCTACAAAGACTGAAGGAGAGCCCTGTGAAGATTTCTGGAGCTCTTTCCCTGCCCTAGTTCTCTCCTCTCCAGAACTCTGCCCCACAGGTTCCAGCTCCTCAGCTTCTGCGGGTACAGATTCCCTATTGTCTGCAATGTGTTCTGGGCAGAAAGCTGGGGCAACTGTGAGACTCACCTTTCGTTTCCCTTCCCTTGGAGATCATGGTCTTGTGCTGCTGTTATCTAGTGTCTGAAAACAGTTGTTTTACATATTTTGTCCAGTTTGCTACTTCTTTATGGTGGAAGGGTAAGTCTAGTCCCTGTTATTCCATCTTGTGAAGCAGAAGCTGAGTTTCTTTTATTTTTTAAATATGTTTTCAATTTTTTAAAACTTGTGAAATGGGCAAATATAAACAATAACAGATAACAATATAACAAACACATATTCTTCCCACCTTTATCAAATCTTAATATTTATTTTCCTTGAATCTTTATTAAGAAATGAAACAGTAAAATACAGCTGAAACCCCATGTATGTCCTTTCTGATTCTTCCCCTGTGCCCCTCTGAGATAACCTCTATCATGAATTCAGTGCTTAGCATTCCCTCACATGTTGTTTATAATATTACTTCATAATTGCATATCCTAAAATGTTATATTATTTTGCCCATTTAAAAACTTAAAAATGCTATCAAATATATGTGTACTCTGCATATTATGTTTTTCAGAATTTTTCTTGTTGATCTTGTTCCATTTTAACTTTTTTTTTTTTTTTTTTGAGACAAGGTCTCACCTTGTCACCCGGGCTAGAGTGCAATGACATGATCAGATTCCTAGGCTCAAATGATCTGGCTCAGCCTCCCAAGTAGCTAGCGCTACAGGCATGTGGTACCACGCCCAGCTAATTTTCTTTTTTTTTATGTTTTGTAGAGACAGGGTCTTGCTATGTTGCCCAGGTCTCAAACTCCTGGCCTCAAGTGATCCTCCCACCTTGGCCTCCCAAAGTGCTAGGATTACTGACATGATCTACTGTGGTTGGCCCATTTTAAATTTTATATGATAATCCACTGTTTCACTATGCCATGATTGGTCCATTCTCTTGTTGATGGAAATTTCATTTGTTTAACAATTTTTTGCCGGTAGGAACAGTGTTGCCATGAATATTCTTAAGCACATCTGTCTGTTTGTACACATATGAGCGTTTCATATACTTATGAGAAAAAATTGCCAGGTCATAGTGTTTATGCATTTTCAACTAGATATTATCTTTGTTAAAGTTTTTTCCAAGAGGATTTTATCTATTTATATGTTCACCAGTAATGAGCAGTCCCACTGATAGAAATCCTTCTCAGAACTCGATACTGTGAAACTTTAATTTTTGCCAATGAGATAGATGTGGAATTGTGTAGATTTAATTTGCATTTATCTGATTTCTAGTGAGAATTAAATGTTTTCACATATTTATCTGGATTTATTGGCTATTTGGATTTCCTTTGGGAATTACCTGTTCCTGTTTTTCTCCATTTTTCTTTGGGATTATTTGTCTTTTCTTATTTTTTAAGGAATTTAAAATATATTCTGGCTATTCATGATCAGTATATGTATCACAGATATCTTCTACCAGTCTGTGGTGGAAGCTTTTTGAATGATGTCTTTTCATGCAGAAGTTCAAAATTTTAATGTATTTAATTTATACTGTGTTTCCCCTCTTAGCATGAGTCTATCTGATGGAGATGTGGTAGGATTTGACATGGAATGGCCACCAGTATACAATAAAAGGAAACTCGGCAAAGTTGCACTAATTCAATTGTGTGTGTCTGAGAGCAAATGTTACTTGTTTCACATTTCTGCTATGTCAGGTTGGTATCTCTTTGTTGCATTTTTATATGGCTGATACTTGTGTATGTTAACTTTATCCCAATAAAATTAAGCTCTTTCATTAGCTGGCACTTCTCCCTTTATCTTATATTTATTAAGGTATTTAAGTTCTACCTGATTCACTCACATCCCTTGTTTTATTTAATTTTCACAACATTCCCATGAATATTGATATTTTTCTTGTTTTAGAGGAGAGAGAACTGAAGTTTAGTAGGGTTAAATGACCAGGAATATGCCGCTCATACTAGCAGAGGTGGCTTTCAAACTAATTGTTTTTTTCTTATCATTTATCAATCAGGATTTTTTTGTTCTAGGTAAGAAAGGAAATACTCAAGGTGAGTGTGTTTCTGAAATTAAGCTAAACATAAAAACAGATTTAAACATAAACATGGTATTTATAACAAGTAGAAAGTAAATCCATCATACTTTACAGAACTTATGGAAATAATAATAAAATGTTACAGTTTTCCCTCAGGGATTAAAAAATTTGCTTGAAAACGAAGCAATTAAAAAAGCAGGTGTAGGAATTGAAGGAGATCAGTGGAAACTTCTACGTGACTTTGAGATCAAATTGAAGAGTTTTGTGGAGTTGACAGATGTTGCCAATAAAAAGGTAGACGTAATATATACATTATTTTCATAGAGCAGATGATTTTGTGTGTGACACAATGAACCTTCTATCCAGATGTTAGATTTTTTTGAAAAAATAATTTGAGCTTTATGTTTTTGTAGCAATAAAGAAGTTCCAAGTGAATGTTCTATAATGAAAGCTTCGGTTCTAATCCATTGCTTTGGCATACGGTTTCTTTAAGCAAGCATTCTCCCTCCCTCCCCCACAGTTCTTGGTACTATTTCACTACTTTCCAGTATTTGCAAAGTTAAGTATTTTGTTTTAAATTTATCTTTTTAATCCATTCATACCAGTAAGTTTTTTTTTTTTTTTTTAAGGGAGAGCATGATGCAGCTCCTGTGGTTTAATGCTCTTAGTGAAAGTTTGACCATTAATTCCATTGCCCAAATTTCACATATTGTATTAATGAAGTCATTAAATTAAATTCTTAGCCAAGTATTCATTTGGCTGGGAAATAGAAAGCCTACTAACCTATTCAACATTTTTCCATAAATAATTCTTTTAAAGTTCAAGAATTTTAATACCTAAGTTAGGGAAATTCCGAAATTAAATTCATATAATGTGGAAGGCAAATGGCACCGGAAGTTTATTGAGGTCTATCTCTAGGTCGTATTTTGGTATAACATTTTCTAATTTTATTTGTGACATGGTCATTTGGTGGTATTTAGGAGTATCTGAAAATAGGAAATAATAATTATTGCTGGTGTTGATTTTTCTTTACTTCTAGCTGAAATGTAGAGAGACCTGGAGCCTCAATGGTCTGGTTAAACACCTCTTGGGTAAACAGCTTTTGAAAGATAAGTCTATCCGCTGTAGTGATTGGAGTAATTTTCCCCTCACTGAAGACCAGAAACTGTATGCAGCCACTGATGCTTATGTATGTACTTAAAGATCTTTACATTGGGATGTATTTTTTAAACCTTATCATAAATTACTTTAGAAAAATTCTATTATAGTAGTGGCACAAACAACTAAAATATTTTACATCAGTTTGGCATTGAAAAATGCTTAGGAAGACATTTAGTGAAACTGCTAATTCTTGACATTAATTAGCAAGTACCAATCAACAGATTTTTCAATGCTAGTTATTTTCACTGTCATGAAGCCAAAATAATGTCCAATTTGTATGTAAAAAAAAATGTGAACTTGCTAAAAACGTGAAAGGCTAATAAGCCCAGGCTGAGCAAGCACAAATAGTATTGATGATATATTTGATATATAAGCAATTTCAGGTACAAAATAGTTTCTATATTGAAACTGGCCTTATTTTTTACATTAATATTTATATTTAAAATGTGGAGAAAATTAAGAAAAATTGCCTCCAAATTTAGCTTGCTGCTGCCATTACATATATTTTCACATTTACATATTTGTACATAGAGAAATCTGGGTTTATTTTTATGTATAGCACTATTGTGTTTTTTAAAAAAGAAATATATTTTATTCCACAGTGAATTTCTTTTCCCCTAATTCATACTTTTGTCTGTTGATGACTATCTGGTTTTCCTTTTTGCATCTATTTTTAGGAATGGAAACTCCTTTGATTTGCAACCAGAAAAAAACTCACTTTTGCTAGGGAAATAAGATGATAATTTTCCTTTAAAAAAAATCATAAAACTTGTTGAGAACTAGCATAAGTTCTGTAGCATTTTTCCTTATGAAAAATCAATGTGACTCGATTGTTCCTGTTGAAAGTACTTAGAAGGAGGGCTATTCATATACTGAGTAACATTCTCATGTGGTTTACTGAAATAGAGGACAGTAAATATTGTAGTCAAAACAGATTGTATTCTGTTAGATTCTATTTACAAGTTATTTGATTTGGATACCTGCTTATAACATTGGGTATTGAAAACAGTGAAAACTTTTCTTTTAAGGCTTAGATGGTTTACTTTCTCCATTCTCACAGTTGGCGTGGTGAATAAATGAAGACATATAGATCTTTGTGTAACATAATAGGTTAAATTCAGTGTTTTGGATGCTTTGGAAATCATTCTCTTTGGTTTTTTTATAGACCAGACATACAGTTTTATTTTGGTTATCTTTAGTATGTTCTTTCTATTTTTCTGTTTGTTTACAGGCTGGTCTCATCATTTATCGAAAATTAGAAATTTTGGGTGATGCTGTGCAAATGTTTGCTATAAATAAAGGTATGTTATGATCTAAAAATAAAAGAGAAAATGTGAATTTGCTCTTCTGTGAGGTTTATCTCCGAAAAGAAAATATTCACATGTTTGCAAAGTGTTTAGTATTATAGCTTCTGGAATATCTGAGCAGTGTAGACATCAGGGTGAGATCCATCAGGGCCAAAGATTAGGGTTTCAGGCATGTTACTCGTGGCAGAGCAGAACTTATACTTTTACTTAGTAGCATTGCTGTTCATTAGACTTCTAGAGTTGAGGCTTTGGGGCTTTGATAGCATCAGTGATGCAATGAGCTTTCTCTCAGTGTGGAGATTATACATCCTTGCTATAAATATTTAAAATGCTTTATATACAGTGCTGTAAAATATATAAGATGCTTTATGGTGTACTGGCTTAAATTTCTAAATTTTCTATGCTGTTTTTCTCTAAAACAGATAGCCACTTTATTCAACTTCAGTGCATATTTTAAATGTCTTGATAGGTCAGTGATACCAGACAGAGCCACTTACTAGAGTGGATGAGCACAAGCTTTTGTGTTACATAGACCAGTGGGGGAATCCCAGCTATGTGACCCGATATATGCCTGTTTCACCATATTTGGGATGTGGATACTAGCATAATATCTATTTCATAGAATAGTCGTGAGCACTAAAAGGGACAAAATAGTCAAAGCACCTATATTCATATGTATGAAGTTGTTATTACTATTCATTTAGTTACCTTTTGGAGATTTTAAGTAACGGTATTTGTTAAGATGTTAATTAAATCAGATGATTTTGCTAAATACACTTTAAAATATAGCATGATGTCCTTATATAAAATTATATAATACCCTTTTAATTGTTGTCAAGAAGGGATTCACGCCCTCTGTGGTAGACCCTCCTTTGTTACATGTTAGGGTAGAAGATTCCTCATATCCCCTTTCTCTCCCTGGAGAGCCACTTCCACGCTTGATCCTAGCCAAAATGCCAAGACATGATGGAGAGCCACTTTTGATGAGTGGCTGCTAATTCTTTGTAGCCAAAGGTACTGTAGCTAGAAATTAGAGTCAGCCCTCCGTATCTGTGGGTTCTGCATCTGTGGATTCAATCAACCATGGATTGAAATATTCTGGGGGAAAAAAAAATTCCACAGAGTTCCAAAAAGCAGAACATGAATTTTGTGTCCTGTGCGCTACATTGAATCCATGTGAATGAAATGATGTGTAGGCATTTTATCAGGTGTTATAAGTAATCTAGAGATGATTTAAAGTATATAGGAGGATGTGCACAGGTTATATGCAAACACTATGCCATTTTATAGAAGGAACTCGAACATCTATGAGTTTGGTATCCGTAGGGGATCCTGGGATCATTCCCTCAAGGAGACAGAACAGTGACTGTATCTTAATTAACTGAGGTGGATGATATGTTTTTTGAGCTTATTTGGAGAACAGTATATGTGAACTTATTTAACTTCTTACAGAACTAAAATTCAACAGAGGGATTTGTGATTTTCTGATTTTATAGTTTGCGGAATTGCTTGTAGGTTACACTTACGATTTTGTCTCTGATGAAAATGCTTCCAAGGAATGTTTAAAATATTTTTCATTGAAGTAGCACACATTAATGAGTCAGTATTGGAAGTCCTGATATCTGTATGCCTGTTGTTGTGATCTACATTCTTTGACCCTCACTTTTTTCCCTTTATTGTATGTGTGAGTATATCGTGATACCTGAAGCGAGTTATCTTGACTCAGGTCCCAACGAATTGTAACTAAGATTACCAGCTTTTTTCCTTCCTCCCTCCCTTTCTATTACTCAGCCACAGATATCAGCCTCATTGTTCTCTAATGTCCCTAGTGTAAATGTGGATGATTTTTTCAAATGACCACAATCCTCTTTTGGTTTGTATTATAAGGCTGTTTTTTTTTTATTTTTTATTAAAGGATAAAAAGCAGATTAGAACATAATAAAAGGATATTTGCACATTGTTTCTCACTATTAAAATATTGATTCATTCCTAAATTGTAGCTAATAAACACTAAAAGATGTAGTAGTTAAATATGCATTTATTCCTTTATTAAATATTGTTGGCACTTTGCGATATGGAGATACAGTAGTGCACAAGATAGGCGTGGTCTGTTTCCTGAGTGACCTACAGTTTTGTGGAGGATATAGATGAATAAAACAAGCAATTGCAGAATAGATGAATCTTATGTCTTGAGAAAACAAGGTGTTGTAGTTAGCACATAGGAGAGGCATCCAATGCATATCACAGGTATGCGAGAATATTTCCTGGAGAAAATGCTGTTTAAGGCGAGATCTGAAATAAGAGCAGGAGTTAGCTAGCTGAAGAGTAGGGGAAAAGTGTCATAGACGTAGGAAACAGGTGCGAAGTTTCAGAGGTGAGAGGTCATGGTATCTATAGGCAATTGGAAAGGAATTCGGTCTAGTGAACCGTTGACTATGACAGGGTGAGTGATGGAGAAGCAGAAAAAGGAAAGCAGATAAGCCGTGTTAAGGAGTTTACATTTTCTCCTAAGACCAATTGAAGCTATTGAGGATTTTAAACAGAGGAGTGAAGTGAATTATATTAAAAAAATAGTAACTCAGATTATAGAGTAGAAAATGGATTGCAGGAGGGCAGGAGTCACAGTGGGCAGACCTTTTGGGAGGCTATAACGATCCAAGGGAGAGGTCATGGCAACTTGAACTGGTTATTTGTAGTGAGGATGGAGAGAAGCGAATAGATTCAGAATGCATTTTGTAGAGCAGTAGAATCAACAGAATTTGTGGTAGTGATGAGACACGTGTGTCAAGGATCATTCCTGTGTAGTTGGCATGAGCAACAGGGACGAAAAACATTGACCAGGAAGAGCAAGATTTGGTGATGAGTAAGTCAGACAGTTGATTTTAGGCACATTGAATGAGGGAAACCTGTGAGATAGCAAAGTGAGGTGGTCAGTAGACACCTAGATTATATAGGCTGTAACTCAGAGGACAGTCTGAGTTAGAGAATAGGGAGTTGGATCTTAGAGTCCTGAGTAACTCTTAGTGTTTAATGTTTGTTTGGAGGAGGGGACACGAAAGGAGTTGCCATAGGCATAGAAGGAAATTAGGAGGTGTGGTGTGCAGAACGCCAAGTGAAGAACATGTTTTAAGTAGGATGTTATTAACTGTTTTAAATCTGCTGAGAGTTTGAGAAACTGAGGACTTAGAATTAATCATTAGATTTGGCAATGTGGCAATCATTTGTAACCTTTTACACAGTAGCTTTGGTGTACTGGGTAACAAGAGTGTTTTGAGGAGTGAAGGTCATTTGGGGCATGTGCTATTAAAACAGAAAAGGGTCCACAGGTATTGGTAACGTGAAGGTACTATAACCATAGCAAGAGAATGATGCGGGTGGGAATCATATCAACGTGAATAGAGAAGTAAGTTAGATCTAAGGTATGTGAAAATAGCGCTTTTGTTTTTTTTTTTAAGAGATGGGATCTCACTATGTTGCCCAGGCTGGCCTTAAACTCCTGGCCTCAAATGATCCTCCCGGGTAGCTGGGATTACAGGCATGTGCTACTGTACTTGGCTTGAAAACAACTTTTTCTTAGAAGCTTGTTTCGATTGTTTTAGAAACAACTAAAGCATGTATAAACTTATTTTTTAGAAGCTTTGTTTGGAAAGGGAATATTTATTGATTCATACAACACATATTTGTTGAGTGCTTATTATGTGTCAGGCACTGTTACAGTTGCTGGGGAAAATTCACCTAGCAAAACAGACCAAGCCCCTTTGTTGCATTTGACTGAAGTCAGGGAGCAAGCCATGTGGATATCTGAAGGAAGAGCACAGCAGGCTTAGAGGAAAGAAAGTGTAAAGCCTCCGAGGGCGATTGCTTGCCTTGTTTGCGGAATAGTGAGCATAACTGAAGCGAAATGAGTAAGGGTAATAGTGGTAGGAAATGAGGCTAGAAAAGTAGCTTGGGCCAGATCATTGAGGGTCTTCCTTGTATGCTATGAATCTGACTTCATGTCTTATTAATGAAAATAAATATCATGATGGGAAACCCTTAGAGGGTGTGGAGCAGAAGAAGGACATGATTAAAATTTTATTTTAAAAGGATTTTTCTGGCTGCTGTAGGAGTGCAAGTGTTTAGGCGAGCAGTTAGGAGGCTATTGTAATAGTCCAGGCAAGAAATGATAATTGTTTGTGTTGCGGGGGAAGCTTGTACTGCAGGCTGAGAAAGAATTTTTGACTCAAAGATTAGGATAGGTTTGAAGCAAAAAGCTTATTTTAGTTTCCAGGAGAGGAAAGGGCACACCATGAAAGAAAGAAGTGTGGGTACTAAGAGTAAGTGGCTTGGGCTTTTGTTGTTGTAGAATGATAACAGGAGGTGGTGGTTTTTTTTTTTTTTTCCCCTTCTCTGTTAGACTGGCTTTAGTTTGGATTAGACTAGTAGCAACAGAGGTGTTGGGAAGCGGTTGATTCTGTAGACATTTCAAAGGTACATATCGTGAAGGATTGCTGATGAATTCCTCTGTAAGGGGTGAGATAGAGATTGATAGAACAATTAGATATTTTGGTCGGATCAACTGATGAATGGAAGGGTCAGTCATAGTGGAAAGATTATGGGAAGAACAGGTTTGGATTTCAGTCTTGGATATACTAAGTTATAGATGATTATTGATATCCAAGAAGTTATCTTAGTTGAAAATGTGATTCTGGAGTTCAGGGGAAAGGTTGAGGTTGGAGATGTAACTTTGGGAATCACAAGCGCACAGAGGGTAGTTAGGGTGGTGAAACTTGATGAGATAAAATAGGCAGTTAATGAAATAAAGAACAGCAGAGGTGTTGACATCAGGGGCACACCAGTGTTTAGAGGTCAGGAAGATGAGAGGGCATCAAAGAGGACAGAGAAGGGGCACTAATGAAGGAGGAAGTACAGGAGGTGTGGTGTTCGGAAACTAAGGGAAGAAGAAGTTTGAGATGTGTGCCATGAATTTAAAATGAAATGAGTAATCATAGTTGCGTTTTATTTTCAGCAACATTCAACTGTGTGTAGGGATCAAGTAGGTAAAAAAGCTGGGTTTAGTTAGATAGAGTAGGGGGTTTTGCCAGGTAAGTACCACGAGGGAAGGAAGAGCAAAGGACTTGAGAATCTATGTATACCAAGGGGTGATTCCTGTGATGTGGGTAAGAAATGAACGTGTGGCGTGGTGGGGCATGGGAGTGGGGAGCATAATGGGGAAGGAAAAGGTGGAGTCAATGGATTTGGTTCCGAAAGTGTCAAAGAATTGTTGGGGAAAGCATGCTGGAAAGAAGGATAGACATTCTGGTGTTCAGAGGATGGAAGGCTTACAATTGAAGTTTGGAAGACGTGATTTTATTGACAGTTACAAGGTCAAGTGTATGACTATGGAATTGGGTGGCTAAGGTCAGTTGAGGTAAAGATTGTTGGAAATGGAGGGGTCAAGGAACTGAAAAGGCCACAATTTTGGATGCAACATCTCTGTGGATGTTGAATTCACTAGGAATGATCATGGGAGTAGCAGTGGAGAAGACAGTTAATGAACTGGTTCTTCAGTGAACAATCTTCAGTGAACAAAAGGGTGTGATTTGGAGATCACAAGATAACTGAAGTAATCAGGAATAGCAAGTTATATATTCCTGTATCTTATACTTCAGAGGAGCCGGACTTTTTGACAGACAAGAGAAAGGTGATGATGAAATTCTGAGCGGGGGAAGGGCAGGCTTTGTGCTGTTGGTGGAGAATGATGTACCAGACAGAATGAAGCTGAGAACTTAGAAGGTGATCACTGACTGGAAAAGCTGGCATTTTGTTTTGGTAACTGGTAACGAGGGCAGTAAGAAATGACTGTTGGATGAGGTCATGTTTACCAAACTGTATTATTAAGTGGCACCCCACATGTGTTAGATTGATTTCTGACTGGGAAATAGTGCAGATGGGTTCAGATTCTCATTTCTACCTTCTGCCTAGGTCAATAACCACTGGGTTATAATATCTGTGAATGCCGATCATTTGGAATTTATTTTTAAGTTTACACAGCAAATATTTGAAAGGGATGTAAAGTGACCAAGGTGATTTGGGGATTGTATAAGAAAGTGTTTTTGTTGCAATTCATTTAAGGAAAGAAAATGAAAATCTGTGCCCTAATACTACTTAATGAAGTGGTTAAATGAATATCTCTGCTTTGTGGTTTGAAAATTAAAATTGATTTTTCTCCCCCAGTGGAGGAAATCCTACCTAGTGACATGAAGAAACAATTGACTTCAATCTCTGAGGAGGCGATGGATCTGGCTACACATCTTCCCAACACTTTCAGAAAATTGGAACATCCACAGAGGTTAAATATTATCTGTTTTTATCAATTGCTTGTTCTTATTGCATTTTCTTATATGTGAAGAATTACTATTCATTAAGGTAGACTCTTACAGATTTGCTTGAGTACATGCACACAGACTGATGTCTACATTTGAGAAATATCTTTCCAGTTGTTAAGTAGTGAATCCAAAAGTTTAAGGGGTTTAAGGCTTTTCAGTCTGCTTTGTAGGATGTTTTATGAAACAAAGAAATATAAGTTGTGTTTATATTATACTTTTTGAAATCATATCTATATTTTTTGTCAAGGCAAAATAAAATAAGTACCCTTTACAGAAGGTACTTTTCAGAGTTGTCATTTTCTGTTTACGAGCCTCTTGCATTTAATTACATTTATAGGTTGGTCACTTGAAATCTATAAATAAAAGCAACTTTTATACTTAGTAGCTTCATTTTTTGGGTTATTAGTTAAGAATTCTTCCTCATTAGTAGACCATTAGAACAAAAGGCATTCAGATTTTAAAGATTATTTTATAGCTAAAGCATTAGGTAACTTAAGGTATTTGGATCAAGTGTTCTATACAGATTAATAGACCTTTGAGTACAGGTGCTATGTAGCTAACTCTTTTTGGAACCAGACCTTCTCTGGCCTTAATTGCTGAATGACTTCCTTGTTAAATCTCTAAAAGCAGGAATGCTCTTGAACAGTGAACAATTACAATGTGGTAATATAATTTTGAGCCAAAAAATACTTTGTAGAAATGTGAAGCCCTTAGTTGGAATAGAAATAATTCTGACTCTGAAAAGTGCAATGTTAATGTTTTTTTTTTTTTCTGGATGAGATTTGTGATAGATTTTGATGGAGAAAGTTAAAAATATGACATAGAAATTCAGCTCTTTCAATGTCATTTTTCCCCCTAGAAATTTGTCTTAGTAGTTTTTATGTAACTTTGAGGATTTCTGAAGAAAGATACAACTTTCAAATGGGGAAGGATTCCAGGAAAGCCATTTCTTACTCATTTTTACATTTTTCCCTCCATGAAATTGGAAAAATCACCTTTTATGTGATTTTTACATGCATTTTTGCACTAGCAATTAAAGTACTGGATGTAAGTTCCATATGCTTAATGCTTTGCTTCATAGTATTTGTCAAGGTCAAGTAAAATATAGAAATAACTCTCTAAATTTAAAACGTTTTATTTGGGAAGAAAGAACTGCAGTTTGGGGCATACACACAGAATAGGTGGTCTTTGATATGTCCAAAGAATAAAGAGAAGGTTGGAGGTTTTATAAAAAGGAAAAATGTTATGTTTTGTTCTCAAAGAAAGTTCACTGGCCCTGCTAAACTTTTGGGGACTTGGCAAGCTCTGATGGGTGAGTGACTGCAGTGGGTAAAACTAGTCTTAAGAGTTGCAGCAGATTGTTGCAGTAGCTATTAGATAAAACTGATTTCAGGTTACTACAGGCAGTTTCAGCAGCCAGGCTGGCAGAGAATGACATTCTTAGAGCACTATTATGTGCGCTTTGTGCTTTTTTCCCCCTGGCCCCTCCACTCTGATTTAGTTGGGTATGACAAGAATGACCCAACTCAGTTTTCACATATCAAAACTAAATAGGTTTTCTTAAAACTTGAGAATGGGAAATACTGGGGTCTTGTAAAGTTTTAGTGTCAAACTGAGAACTAGTTAAATCTCTTCTGTTATTTATAACAAGTCTACAGTAATACCTAACTTATCTAGATTATACCTCAGAACGAGGAGAGAACAAAAACAGGCCTCTGAACAGTCAAAATACATTCTATACGCATGTATTCAAGCTCACTTTCTGCATTTCCAGAATGAAATGAGGCGACATTCAGAGCATTTTTGCTTTTTGTTTATAGATATAGTTTGACGAGCCTGGATATCTAGTTAAAATGAAAAATGAGCCATGGGGGCTCACGTCTGTAATCCCAGTGCTTTGGGAAGCTGAGGCAGGAGGATTGCTTGAGTCTAGGAGTTGGAGACTAGCCTGACCAACATAATAAGACCCTGTCTCTAAAAAAAATTATCTGGGCGTGGTAGGGTGCACCTTTAATCAGGAGGTTGAGGTGGGAGGATTGATTGAGCCCAGGAGTTTGAGGTTGCAGTGAACCGTAATCACGCCACTGTACTCCAGCCTAGGCAACAGAGCAAGACCTTGTCTCAAAAAAAAAAAAAGAAAAAAAGAAAAAATGGTGTGAACAAGGACTAGTATGCATGTGATACTAGCTAGAAATGACAGCTGGCAATCTGTGAAAGAATGGAAAAAACTATAAAAATTAGAACTAAGAACTCTTGAAGTAGGGCAGTTTAAGATTTGTTCCAGAAGGGAACAGCTTTATGCTTCAGTGGACCCTGAAGGTACTGGTACTGTGTAGTACTGCTTAGTCGTTGATTTAAGTTGAATATATGTCTTGTTGTATTGCTGTTATGTACTTGACATTCTGCTGGGTGCTGAGTCTGTGTGCAGGCTACTAATATGTGTAATAACAATCCTAAAAAAGCAGGAAAAGTACACTATGCCTTACAGAAGAAGGCAGGACAGCCTTTGGTATTTATTAAAGTAAATGTTAGTTGTCTTACATGAAACATGTCATCTTTGATGCTAGTGCTGGATAAATGAGCCCATACAGTCTTGTCAGTTGGTCTGAGCCACTGCTGTTATGTTTGTATGTTTCAGCATTCCCTGTGCGTTTAACAGTTAAGATGTGTACATATCTGTTCCTACTATTTACATGTAGTTCTTATATTTGAATAGATGTATATAATGCTAAATATTCTTTGTAAGATTTAAAGAATTTTAGAATGTTGAAATTAGTTTTTAGTTTTCGAATTTAATTTTGTTCTCGATTTTGTTTGTGTTATCGTAGACTTTGTCAACTTAAGCTTGAGCCCAACTTTTGAGTACTCTTAATGATGCTGCTTTCATTGTGGAAATAACTCATGAAACAGCTCCGTACTTTTGATAGTTTATTCCCATGAAAGATCAAATTTTTACTTGAGTCATTAATATAAAAATTTAAAAGGCATGTCAAATTTTATTAAGCATTGATTTTAATATGGAAATATTAGAATACCTAAACAAAAGCACTAATTAAATAGTAAAACATGTCTCTTTGCTTATCATACTCCCTTCACTCCTTTTAATTTCTGCTTTTATGAAATACTTAAACATTGCTTTAATAAGCTCTACAACAAAAAGATAAGACAGTATGCCTCATTTTCCCCTCTAGTAGTGGTCTTTCATTTCAAAGAACTAGGTTTCGTTATAGCCATTTAAAGTTACTTAGTTAAAGTGTCATATGTTAGCAACTGCAGTTAAGGGATTCAGTTCATATTTATTCATGTGCATCTTATCCATATTTTCTCACTTGTTTTACCTACTGATGTCTTTTTTTTTCATTCCAAAAAATATCTCCAGTTTTGAGATTTTTAAAGATGTAAAACAGCATCATTTTCAACTTATAGCACAAGCACTATTTACGTGTTGCAGTTGGGACTAATTGATCAGTGAATTGAAAAAGTTAGGTAAAATGGGATCATAAAAATTTTCTTTTGAGTTAAAATATTAACATACATTTGTTCCCAAACTTTTGGTATATGTGAAGACTTTTTCATTACATACGGCCTGCTGTTTAGAGTTCCGCAGAGTGTTTCTTGTTTAAACCACTCCCATAATGTATCATCAACAATTTCTAATTTTAATTTCTTTAAAATGGAGTGAAAAATTAAGATACTTTAAGCAATCTGAGTGCAGAGTCCTAGGAATTTTTATGATTTTTCTTCCCAGCTTTTATAGTTCTTTTGACCATGATTTATCAAACAAGTTTTAAAAAAAAGTTTTCTAAGTCTTCCCATGTATTCAAATTAGAATTTAATAAAATAGTTTTTTTGTTTTTGTGGTCATGTATCATCGATTTACTTTACATTTAATTAATCACCAAAAAAAGTATAGGTGGCGTAAGCAAATTTAGGGCCAAACACTATTGGCTCTTAATAAGCACACAAATCAACTGTTGGACACAGAGTGCTTAGCTGTTCTAGAGTAGCCTCCCAGCTATAATTATATATGGGCATTTGGAAATGAAGAGCAACTTTTATGCAATGATCAGTTTAGAAAGCTTTTACTTATTTAAAAGCTTTAAAACTTATCGTTAATGCAATTAAAGTTGAATTAACTTTAAATTTTTTTTTAAGGGTTTCTAACCTATTAAAGGATATTTCAGAAAATCTGTATTCACTGAGGAAGATGATATTTGGTTCTACTAACACCGAGGCTGAACCGAAGCCCAGCAATAATTTTAACTTATTATCATTGGAGGATTCAACTGTTGGTGGAGTACAACAGAAACAAAGTAGAGAACATAAAATTTTTGCTGATGTTAAAGATGACACATCGGACACAACACTTGATAATTTAGTTCAATGTGATGGACAAAATGTACTTGGAAATGAAGTGAAACAAAAAGAAGATGGATTTGAAGATGGCATAGAAGGCAATGAATCGAAAGATAATAAGGAAAGAATTTGTTTAATGTCGTTAGATGTTACAGAATCTGAACTTCAAATGTGGGAACAGCAGGCTCAGGAAGAATATGATAGGGATGTTACTTCCAAATCTGCTGAGGTACTAAATAAAGAGGAAACACTTTTTTGAGTTATTAGTAGGGTTGGCTATCTTTTTTTCTGTAAAGGGGCAGATAGTAATTATTTTAGGCGCTGGGGATATTTGGTCTCTGTTGCAGCTACCCAGTTCTGCCGTTGTAGTGTGAACGTAGCCATAGACAAATGTAAACAAATGTGCCTATCTGCATTTCAGTAAAACTTTATCTACATAGACAGTGGGCCTTACTTGGCTTGCAAGCCATAGTTTGCTGCTCCTGACTTAGTACAATAAGCAGCATTGTATAGTGGAAAGATTTTATAGTGTCAATAGACATTTGTTATAATTTGTTGTTTTATCATTTCTTATCCTTTTTTCATAATTGGTATCTCTGCCTTTGTGGATTTCTTTCATATCTACTAGTGGTTACTCTTCCAAACTTGATTTTTGGGGGTGGTTTTTATTTCCTTATACACAGTTTCTTTATATGCCAGTGTGAGAGTGTTTCTAATAAACTGATGTTTTTGCTTGAAACTAGTCTTGACTGTCATCTGGAGAGTCAGATTATTTTTTTCATAATTTTTTCTTTTTTTTCTTCTGAGACAGGGTCTCGCTCTGTTGCCCAGGCTGGCGTGCAGTCGTGCAGTCATAGTTCACTGCAGCCTCAAACTCCTGGGCTCAGGTGATCCTCCTGCCTCAGCCTCCTGAGTAGCTAGGATTGAGGTACGCACTACCACTCCTAGCTAATTTTTACTTTTTATTTTTTTTTAAAGGTAGGGATAGAGTCTTGCTATGTTACCTAGGCTCGTCTCAAACTCCTGGCCTTCAGCAATCCTCCTGCCTTGGTCTCCCAGAGTGTTGGGATTGTAGGCATGAACTACACTGTGCCTGGCCTTTTAAAAAATTTTTTAATTAAATTCTTTAATTTCTTATTTGTTTTTTATTAGCTTACAAGATTACTTAAGATACCCATATTCTCTGGAATTTTATGTATTCTCTTGTAATAAATAAGGTTTTTTAAAAAATTAGATTTTGAAAGCCATTCAATAGAGTTATTTTCCCTTCATTTTTCTAATGGCAACAAAAGTCTTAGTATTTGAGAAATTCTCTGTTTTGGTAGCTGTATTAGATATCACTGCTATCAGTATATAAATGCATTTTATTTTAAAAATGTTTTCAAAATATTCTCATACCAACCATTTATAAAGCAGATTCCCTTTTGGGGAAATATCATTTTTTTGCTAACATCTGCAGTACTCTAATTTTCTAGAAATTTCTTATTAGGGATGCACTAAAATGATATGTTTCATATAAGGTTATAGAATTATGGTTAGGATTTCATGATTTGACTGACATCTTTTATACCAATTATTGCTATTTTTGTATACTAATTATTAGCATTGTTTCCATTACTCATTAAAGGCCCCTTTAAAAAGCAAAAGAACTTTTCTCTCTTAGTAAGAAACTTATTTAAAAAAATTTTTTTGCTCAAATTTTGCAGGTTAATTAAGGTTATATTTTCTTTTCCTATTCCAATTTAAATATTAGGCATTTTGGGGGGTCCTTTTTCTATTACTCATATGGGTTACTTTTGTGTGGGTTCTCATTCTGTTGAGCACTTGCTTCCTGGAGATTGCCAAATTATTGTAAAGTTTTCTCATATCCAGACATCAGAATTAGACTAAGTGAATTACATATCTGACATTGTTTTTCAAATATATGTAGATGCTATTTGTAAAATACTGATTTATTTAAACATACTACAATCAATCATAGTAGTTTTTTGTAATTTTTTTTAAACCATCGGATATAAAAGAACTACTGTTCTTGGCTTTGTACAGAATTTTCCAACACTATGAAGAGGTTCTTTGCACTCAAAAAATTTGGGAGATGCAGTTTGACATTGTTTAACCAGAGTTGAACTTGTCACTTTCTACTGTCATTTAGAGAGGGGATTTTATTTTAAGTCTGTTTATCTGACTTGTCCACCTTTCTAACTATATTTCTGTCTTTCATTTTGGTTGTTTCTTTGTTCATCCCTCCCTCCCTTTTTCCTATCTACCTGTCATATAAATATATAAATATGTATTATATATTTATCTATTAGAGAAGAGGAAGTTGTGTAAAGATACCTAGTGTGTAGGAGCTTTATTTTGCAGAAAAGAAGATATGGACTCTAGTACTAGAAATTAATTTTGAAATATATATATTTTTTAAAGCCTTTAGCTCCCACGGATACATCTCATGTAATTGAAAGTGATGAAGATTTAGAAGTGGAGATGCTTAAGGTATGTTTAAAATTATAGAAAAGTTACTTCTGGTTCTTTCCAGAGGACATTTATTTAAGTAAAATATTACTTAATTCTAAACCAGGTCCCACAATGGAATTGCAACTAGTTATGTAACATTAGATTTTACATTAGATTTCATGTTTTCCAATTGTATTTCTTTGCATCTTTATATAGTCTATGAATAATGTTTCAGAAATAGTATACTGATTTTTCAATGTATTTGTTTCTTCTTCTTCTTCTTCTTTTTTTTTTTTTTTTTTTTGCACTTGCTCTGTCTGTTGCCCTGGCTAGAGTGCAGTGGCATCATCATAGCTCATTGCAACCTCAAACTCCTGGGTTCAAGTGATCCTCCTGCCCCAGCCTCCTGAGTAGCTGGGACTACAGGCATGCGCCACCATACCCAGCTAAGTTTTCTATTTTTTTTTGTAGAGATAGGGTCTTGTTCTTGGCTCAGGCTGGTCTCGAACTCCTGAGCTCAAGCGATCCTCCAGCCTTGCCCGCCGAGAGTGTTAGGGTTACAGGTGTGAGCCACTGCACCTGGCCTTTCTTATATTCTTATGTCACTTTCTTTTAATCTTTTCCTGGCATATGGGTAGTGATTAAGCTCTCCAGTATTGAAGTTGGCTTTCCTTTCTTCCCATCCATGTATATCTTGTTTTATTTGGAAGTTCTGTTTTTATACATTCAATAATCTTCTTTATTTAGTATTATTTACTATGGATATTTTATATCATGTATAATTTTCTAATGGTTTAAGTGGTTCGGGATTAGTTTATTATCAAAGTTGAAAATAGTGCTTTATAATTTATATATTTTCGACTTCTTCACTCAACCTTCAGTTTCTTTGTCAGGTGTTGTAAATCAAAAATGTACAAGAAAGGAAAGCTAATTTAGCCAAATTAAATGAAAAAGAAAAACACAGAAGTTTACCATTATGTATTCTTTTTATTCCTTATCTTTGGGTTGATGAGATTTTTTTCTTTTTATTAAATGAGATTAATTTCCTTATTACTGGTTTTGAGGCTGAGTAGTGGGTAGTGATTAAGAATGTAGATTCTGAATTCAGATACGGATTTGAATCCCACCATCTCCAGTTATTAATAGCCGTGTGACTTTTGGCAAGTTTCTTAGCATTTTTGATACTCAGTTAACAGTTACAATAATTATTTAAGGTATTGGTTGTGAAGAGCTTAGTGCAGAGCCTGGCATTTAGTAAGTGTTTATTAACTATTATCTAACAATAATAGTAGAACATAAATATGAAATCATATTTCATTATTGACTAACCATTTCTCTGAGGAGTACTGTTCAAACACATTTATAGGATAGTTACGGACTTTTACAAACATTATATTCATATTGAATCTCTTAGAAGGCAACTTGGATGCCCATGTTAGAACCCTATTTTAAAAATGCTTTGTAAATGTGTTTGTGGACTTGAATAAAAAATCAGAAACAGAGTCACTATTTTTTCTGTTCCAGGCTTGAAATGAGTACACTTTTTGAAAAAAGCTTTAAAGTCAAAATATTAAATGAAAGGTTTATTAAAAAGAGAAAATAAAAACTGTGGTTTAATAATGTCTTTTTGTCACTCTTTAGTAAAAATTTTATAGATGAAACAATTTTGAAATACCCTAACATTCTTGAAATAAACAATCTTTAGTTAGGGGAGAAAATCGGATACTGTCAAACCAAAATTAAAACAAATAACTATTTCAAATTCGTAATATTCCTTTTCTAAAATTATTTGAATTTTTTGGTTTGTTTTGACAATTCTAGCAATTCACTGTTTGCTTATAGTTTAAGCCTTATCTTTACTAAAATAGAATGTGACTGACACATGAGGTAGAGAAACTGATTATAAAAATAACATTAAAATCCAAATTTACTACTTGGAGATTGAAAACATTGAAGTACCATGAAGAAAAAATCTTTTAAATTATCCTAAATCAAAATTTACGATAGCTTTCCCTAGGGGCATTTCATTATATGCTATTAATGAACCTTGTTTATGCTGGAATTATTCCGTCTTTGGCCCTGTGCCTTATAAACCATTCATGAACACATATTTAAACTGGAGCACACATGTTCTTTTGTGGTATTGCTTGCACATCTGCCAGCTTTGAACAAAATTGTAGGCTCTGTTAATAATACTCCTTTTGTGTTTGGTGAAAAAGATGACACTGTCAGTGGTTTTGCTTTTAAAATTTCTTTTAAACCTTCAGTTTTCAGAGAACCTAAATAAAGGCATGGTAGAACCAACTCATTCTCATTGCTTAGAAATGGAAAGAAATCTGGGTCTTCCAACTGAAGAAGAAGATAAAGATGAAGATGAAAATGAAGCTATTGAAGAGGAAGAAAAAGATGAAAATGAAAATGAAGCTATTGAAGAGGAAGAAGATGATGAGAAGGGTAAGCACCAAAATATGTTTGAAATGAGTCACCTGGTATCTACCATGTTTTGGATGTTTTTGGAGGTCAGGGACTTTGTGACAGTTAATTATCGGATCCTATAAACTTGCCATTAAATTCATTTAGTGCTTTTGTTTCCACAAAACACATTCTATTTATAAAAATAGAATAAAAATAGTGTTGTGTTGATAAAATGTTTTTCCCTTTGTTTTCTTATATTAATTAGAGACATGATTTTTCCAAATCAGTTTAGTTTTCTACTTAAAATTATTAATGCTGAGAAGTATAATAATGAGCTTTTATTGGTTTTTTTTTTTTTGAGACGGAGTCTGGTGCCATGGTGTCAGCCTAGCTCACTGCAACCTCAAACTCCTGGGCTCAAGCGATCCTCCTGCTTCAGCCTCCCGAGTAGCTGGGACTACAGGCATGCGCCACCATGCCCGGCCAATTTTTTCTATATATATATTTTTAGTTGTCCAGATAATT